AGATCGCTTATCGATATCTTTCCCCCTTCGCGCAGTCGGAGAACTCTTCCCACTCAAACACAGAGCCCGTGGGATGTCACTCGCCACGGCTTCCAACTGGTGGTGGAACTGGGTGATCGCGTTCGTGGTGCCGTACATCACAGATGCGGCGTATGGGAATTTGCAGACTAAGATTGCGTTTATTTGGTTCGCTACTGTGAGTTCCCCCCCTTACCCTCCTCCTCTACTCTCCCTCTTTTAACCCTACCTGCTTCCACGGTATATATGCGCGTACTGACACTTAACTCGCACACACATACAGTCCCTCATCGGCTGCGTATGGACATTCTTCTTCGTCCCCGAAACCCGATACCACTCTCTCGAGACTCTAGACGAGATGTTCGAGTCTGGAGTCAAACCTTGGAACACGGCCAAATGGGTGCCGAGCGGTGCGGATGCCAAGGGGGGGTATAGGCCTGGGGATATTGGTGTTGTTGGGCATCATGTTAAGGGAGGGAAGGAGGTGGAGCATGGGGAGCATGAGGGGGAGGAGGAGGGGAGTGAGAAGGAGAAGGTTAGTGCGTGAGTGAGTGTAAAGGGGGTGGTGGAAAAAGTGAAGGGGTATTGTACCTTTTTGTTGATGATGATGCCGACGCCTTTTTTTCTTCTTGTTCTACTTGTTACGCACCTTTGTACGCCAAACTTTTTGTTGGTTGTTTTCGACTCTTCTTTTATCCTCTTTTTTTGGGGGTGTTTTGTATCTATTATAAAGCTTTTACGATAACGATAACGATATATATGCATACACACACAATCGGTTTTTATAACGTTCACTCTTCTTTTTTTTTTCTTTGTAAGTAGACGTTGTAAAAACTTGGTACTTAGTTTATTTGTGAATCGATATTTTCTTGTTCCTTTGAAGAAGTTCATTTATGGAAGCAAGTTACACGAAGAACGGGAGAGTTAGTAGCGTATATACAACTTGTTACATGCTTGCAGTGACAAAATCAGAGAGTCAAGGAAGAAGTACCACTTCAAGACAAGAGCCCTTCCCCTGATGGAAAGCATTTCCGGCTTCGACTTTGTATGTTTAGTTCAAAGTCGCAGTCAAAGGTTGACAGCGAAGTGTTTCTTGTTCTTATACTATTTAGATACTTCCTCGTATCAAATTTTTGATACGAATCAACTCCCTCCCTTCCCTACGACTCTTATTTATTTAGAAAATTGTACCTCGAACCGCATACGTGTGGTCCTGTAGGTAGGTAGGTAGGTAGATTACACGGCTCCGCAACATGCGGGGACCCTAAGGATTAGTCTTATGGTAATCTCTTAGCGCGGACAGCGCTGCAAAGTTATGACATAATCAAACGCGTTCCCACGCTCTCTAACCATTGTCGGCTGTATATTTCTTTCTTCTGCGCCCAATGGATCTCTTATAAAAACATATATAACTTCTGGGCTGCCTTTCATTGACCTGTAAGAGTCTCCAGAACATGCTGGGAATGGAGGAATTAATGAAAAGAAGAGGACCGTCACTTTTGTGTGTAATTTGTGGCTGTGTTATTTCTACCAAAAACAGGTTGATCAGCTAAGTGACCGTGTTTCGCCATAAGCCAAAGGTTGTGGGAATCCGCGTGATTATGTCATAACTTTACAGCGCTGTTCACGCCTATTGCATCAGCAAGTTTCGAGGCATATAAAGTGTATAATGCATAAGAGCTATATGCATTTATGCAATTTCATACGAAAATTGATCGATCGGCTTTATACCCAAGTGTATAAAGGGTTTGATTCGGTATCATATGGTATATTGCAAGGGACTTAGGCGGATTTTTGTCAACTGATCAACGGTCACGTGCATTTGAATCGGACTTTGAACATTTTTGTTGATAACTTCCGCAGTCTCACGTCGCTTTTCCTTTGTTCTTTCCTTCCTTTCCCCATGTCTTGCCGTTGAAACTTTACAGAAACCCAGTCGGTGTGTGGATTGACTCAGATTACCATATTTGCTGCTGATGCTGAGATTTTCCTGTAGACATTTCTCTCTGGCCGAGTGTGTTGTAGTGGTTAGTGGAAGGTTGACTTCCGGTGTGTATATGACTATTTCTATTCTATACTTATCCTCACCTCTCTTTTCCTTTGGTTGTTTCTTTAGTTTGTTGTACTAATTCACCGGAGATGGCACAAGAGGAACAGGAAGAGGTATTTGGAACGGGGTATGCTGTGGCTAGGTGTGGGGGACTGAAGGAGTGAGTCTTTCTCCTTTGCCTCACGTGCATTTTGTTCGTGACTGAATACTCGGAATATCTCTAGTGTCGGTCACTGGCTTCCTGTCCTGGATACTCACTATAGGTTAGTATGTCCCGTTGTAGTATTAGTTTATGGGTTCCCTTTCTGTGTTGATGAGTGTCAGAGAGGATATAGCTAGTCTGTAATGGTACCCATTCCCTGTGTATGCTTTTGTGTTTCTGTAGTTTAGCCATTGAATATACTGGTTTTTACAAGTCTTTTTACTGGAACCGAAAGAGATATTGAGTATATAAAAAGCGTGTAAAATGTGTGTAAAATGTGTGTAAAATGTGTATAAATGATTGTCTAAGGTTTATGAAAGGTGTATAAAGAACATGCACTCCCCCCTCGGTTTATACAAGGTTTATACAAGTATAAAGATGTATAAATGGTATAAATTTATACGTATTATACGCCTCGGAACTTGCTGATGTGATTGACGCCAGACTACCTAAGGATCAGCCGGCAGCACAAGTTCGGTGGAGGCAAACGCGCAGTAGACCTTCCAACCCAACAAGTGCGAGGTATTACACTTGTACATAGAGTAAGTACATGTAATTACGGTACTATGATACATTACCATAGTGAGGTGGAATTAGAAGAGACGATAGAAACTTGAATACACAGTAGTAGAGCAACGGTAAAGGAAAAGTCACCGTAAAAATCAAATAACAACCTGACAAATATGTAGAAACGACTATTCCTGCTCATCCTCGTAGCACTCATCAATATGAGGAATGTTACAAGTATCCTTCCAAATAACCAGACATTCATGGACAAACTTTGCCGTAGCCGGCACCAGCTCCCAAGAAAAGATCAAGGACTTAAGCAGCTCAAAGACATGATTGCATGAGCGTTGAGCATCGGGATCGAGATGGTTGGACAGTAGGAACTCTCTACGTAGTACCACAATATCAGCTATACTTCTGCAGCTCAGCATCACATGTTCCGGTGTCTCGAAAGTGGACCTGCATAAACGGCATTGTTTTGAGTCGACATTGTCCCCCTCCATGTAACCCTGGCCCGGTGAGCAGCGAAAGATAAAAGGGGACATTTCCTGCCAGCAGCCGTGTCAGGGAGCGGCGATGACGGTGATTGTTCACGCGATATAAGTAGTGTCGGAATCTGAGAACAGGGGAAGATGGCTTATTGTCACTATTTGGATCTATAGGTTCTATCCTACCACGAAGTAGGGATACTGTACTATTACAACCATAAGTTCGCGTAACGCATAATGCACCCCCTGAACTTGGGTCATTTTATAAATCGTAACGCATCACATGCACATCCAAACACCTACCCCAATAATTCCGTCACACGGCCCGAGCTCGGATCAGCAAAATGAACTAATTTTTGGGTGCGGCCTTCGGCCACAAAGCATCGCGTAACGCATCATCCGGCCCTCTGAACTTATTCTCCACCAAAAGTATTGCATCACGGCCAAAGTGAACGAACTTTTGGTCGTAATAGTACAGTAGACGGTGAAAGGAATTAATCTCCGACAAGAGATGCTCGCTTGAGACCCTACGAATCTCTTTCACCAACTCATCTATAGTTGAAGCATGTAAATCGGTGCGTTGCGGCAGGAACAGGCGACGAGTTTCGTTACCAGGCAGCCAGCGCAACACGAGATCCAGGTCTGACACCCATGAGGGTGAATTATTCAGACGGAGGGCAAAAGATGCCTCCACAGCGGTACGGGCGTAGTGACCCAATGGGAGCTGAATCAGATATTTGAGGTATGATAACGCAAGTATTGCCCGACGTATACGAATTGGGCGAAGACCTGTCTCGGTGAATAAAGGGGTGGTGATAGACTTGTTTGAGAGTCCAAGCATACGACGGAGGAACATCACCTGTTCCTTCTCAAGTAGCTCTATGCCGTCCTTGCTCACATCAGGAACAATCTCCGCACCCGAGATCAAGTGACAATCCACCAGTGCGGTATACAACTCCTGACAACATTTTGCCGGCAGACGGCCTCGCCCTACAATACGTTCCGTTCCTAGCACACCATGGGCGCACGACCGTGCCGCACGTGCTTTTGCAGAGTAGAAGGCATTGAAGATGTCGCGATGCGTTGATGTAAAAGTGACGCCGACGTATTTAAATTTATCGACGACTCGGAGGGCATTTTCATTAATAATAAAATGTGGAAATGCACCCGGACCGGTGCTCCCAAATATCATCACCTCCGATTTTGAGGGACTCAATGATAGGAAGTTGTTATAGCACCATAGTTCCAATTCAGACAGGTGCCGCTGGAGACCTTGAGGCGAGCGAGACACAATAACCATGTCATCTGCGTGTTCGAGATGGGAGATGGGGGTACCCAGGAGGTCGGCATCATCAGGGTCAAAAGATAGAGCAAACGAGGCAAGGTAGAGGTTCCACAACATGGGCGACGCAGGGTCTCCCATGAGAACACCAGAACCTGCATCAAACTCTGCTGAAACCTCACCATCCTGAGTCAACATGTATTTCATCCGCCCATACACTGAGCACAGCCAATCGTAATACATTCCTGTTAGTCCGAAATCTTCTAGACAGTTCCACAGCGCGTTTTGGTTAGTTGAAGGGAACACATTGGAGATATCCACGAAAGCGACGTAAAGAGTCTCATCCCGGGATCTTGACTTTTCGATAAGAGTTCGGAGAATGAAGGCATTGTTATTTGTACGATATTCTCTGCGGAAACCGTTCTGTGATGGAGGAAGAATCTTGCCCTCTTCGGTGTAGTGTAGCGGTTATCACATGGGATTCTGATCCCGAAATTACGATACTGACTTTCCCATGACCCAGGTTCGATTCCTGGCAGGACCTTGCAAAGGTTCCCGAAACATGTTTTTGTAAAGTCAACGCCACTGCTATGTACATACCAGCATAGAATGTACCTAAGCACACCATCCTTGACCTGATACGTACACAATGTATGTTTGTATATACCCTCAGACCTACTTTATTGCATCAAAATCCATTGATGTATACGTCTGATATGCCTAGTTATAATCTCACCAATTGACTTCATCCTCTCCTTTCATCTCAACTCAGCTCAGTCTGAGGTGGAAGCGAATTGAATCTCTTAGATTGATCCTAGATTTTTCACACACATTCAAAAATGCGCAGCCGGTCTGATTCACTCAAAAAATGACACTACATACTAGTATCATACATCCGAAGATCCGCGCTGGGCATTATCCGTCTTCAAATTTATTTGTTTGGATTGAGCACATGAAGCATATCAGTTTAGGTATGTGGCTCGCTAGCTACATACATTTACAGAAACGTCCGAACTCCGTATGTTACAAGTTGAATGAACAGCCCCAGCGAGATCTAAGTCATCAGGCCTCCAACTGAACACTTGGTTCTTTTTCGATACCATTAGATACCGCTGCTCCGTTGTTCATTCAATTGGCTATTTCTTTTTTCGCCCAAGTCCCAGTAGGTCATGTTTCGGAGAATCAGAAAACTGGCATCTAAGGAAAAATGCCTTCAAAAACTTCATCGTATCTGTCCTGGATTCGGATAGGTCCGAGTCACTCCAGTAGTGTTGCCGAGACTCGGCTATGACTCACTCCGGCTCGACTCCAGTTGACTCCGGCTCCAAATCTGGTGACTCCACTCCGGAGTCGACTCGAGTCAGTTGAGTCAGCCGAGTCGCCAATGTAGTTGATTTATTATTATGTGAATATATTATTGAATAGAATTGAATACTTTCAAGATGAGTAACTGTTACCAAAACAGGTAATTCAGCTGCGTACTACATCTCAATTACCAAAAAAGGGTAATCATTCAGCTGGATCACTCAATTTCGCTCAAGTGACTTTAAACTTGCCAGAGTCACGAGTCACGAGTCCGACTTGGCTCGACTAAAAATCGACTTGACTCGTCGACTAGCCGGAGTCAAGTCGAGTCATGTGCAACACTACACTCCAGCCTGCCTGTTGACAAGTTATTTTTAAATTTTACTAGCCTGAGGCTTGGCCCTTTGGGGAGAATAGAGGATAGGAAATTGAATAAGTACGGATGGGTTTTAGAGATAGTCTGACCCGAACTTTTGAATACTAGGTTGTAAACCTACTGGTTTACAACCACTAATCACATGTGTTACCATTATAGTGTTACCGTCACATGTTATATACTTCTTCTCAGTTGTACCTTTACTCCCACCTACATTCCTTACGTTCTACTTCACTCTCTCTCTCTCGCTCGACAATATAGCGTGGTCGCAACAAGCTCTCTGTGTGACCTTGAGTGATTTCCGGCATCTGACAGCAGGTTTACACTTTTTTTTTGTGCGCTAACCCACGCACCTTCTTTTATTCATTATTCCATCTCTTCATCCTGGCATCTCCTCCTCGGTTCACCCGCCTTGCTCAACGCGCCCACAATTTGCCCGTCCTTCTCGTTCCTGCCCCCCATAGTCGTTCCACCACTGCTACTCCTTCACCAACAACCTCCATCTCTTCCACAGTCCAGGCTCCTACTCCCGATCCTTCCTCATCTCTGGACCCGCCTTTCGTCATGTCTAAAGGTCTTGTGCTTCCCGCCCTTACGGAACCTCTCACTGCTGATTCTGTTGGAATATGAAGTATTAAGTACTCAGTGTTCACACAATATAGTGGGAACGACTATTAATTGAGACTACAGTACCTGTTGGAATACGAAGTATTAAGTACTGTAGAGATAATTAGTATGAATCAAACATGAATATAAGTATCGAAACATACCTCAGTGTTCACACAATATAGTGGGAACGACTGAGGAATGTAGAGTCTGTACTGTGGTATATATCTAGCCGATCATAATGGCTCGGGGCTCAGTACAAATAAACAGTATTGTAGTGATGAAACTGGTGAGACGGAGAATATGAAATAATCGAAAAGGAAAAGTGAATACTAAATAAGGAAATAATTAGCCACTCATGGGTATAGTAGGAACTCTACCTTCGACACTCCCCCTGAGTTCCGTCACTCTTCAATAATGCAAAGGCCCATTTCCCTCACAAACTTCTCAACTGCCGCTCGAGGTAAAGCTTTTGTGGTTATATCCGCTATGTTCTCCTTGGAGTTAACGTACTTGAATTCCAGTTCCTTTGCACGAACAGCATCCCTAACCCACGCCCAAGCGGTGTCAAAGTGTTTAGTGTGGCCATGTTTCGTAGTAGCTTCGGTTAGGGAAATCGCACTGGTATTATCAACAAAGACTGTGAACGGGTATTCCTTCGTGAGTTCCAAACCATGCCAAAACTTGTGCATCCACTCGGCCTGCTTTCCCGCATTTACCAATGAAAGGTATTCCGCCTCCGTGGTCGACAGAGCAACAACCCGCTGTTTAGACGACTTCCAAGAGACAGCACCACCAGCTACCATAAACACATAGCCCATAGTCGACTTCCTTGTCGACACTCCATTCTCCTCTTTTACATCGGCATATGACGCATCGCAATAACCAACGGGCTTCAGAAGATCACCGTCTCCATCCTTTCTCCGCTCATACTTCAGTTCGTAATTCATCGTTGCCTTCAGATATGTGAGTATGTGTAGAGCGGACGCCCAATGCGTTGGGCGAGGGTCACTGCTGTATCACTGGAGTAAGGCAACAGCATATGAGATATCTGGATGGGTTCCTTGGGAAATGTGATTTAAACAACCGATTAGACCCATATAGTCTTTGTTGGCCATGAAGAAACTGTCCGATGGTTGTATAGGGTTCGGTTGGGATTCGATGAAGTCGATACTTGGGGATAAGGGAGTGTATTTTGGTGCGCAATCAGACATCCCAAAACGCTGTAACGTCTTGATGATCAACGGACGCTGATGAATGGTTATAGAACTGTCCTTCCCTCCTCGTACCGTCATCCCCAACATCACATCTGGATATCCATAATCTCGAAACTCATACCCATTTGCAATTTCCTTCCTCGCTCTTCTCCCATCTTCCACTGTCGATGATGCTCCAGTGACGTTGTCCGTGTAAGTCGCGGTAAGGGTGTATCCTAGTTCAGTTCGACGGAAACAGACACAAGGATCAGCAGGATTTGAGTGGAACCCAATCTTTCGGTAGTAATTATCTAGTGTCCTGTACCAGTTGTTACCTGCATCCATAGTCCCATACACATTTACATTCATCAACAACACCGTTTCCAAACTGTCCCGCAAGTCGTATCGACGCTCAAAACCTTTCGGCAACTCCAAATAATTGACTCCCTGAGGCTTCGCATTCAGATATGCACCCGTAAAATCACCAGACCATAGATCCAGGCCTTCGTATGCGGCGATAGCGATGCAGAAGTGAATCGACTCGTACCTCGCCACAATAGACCATGTATCTTCATAGTGCACACCTCGGATTTGGTCATAACCCCTTACTACTAGCCTCGCACATCTCTTGGTAAGTTTTCCTTCACCATCCTTCCGTATCGCATACACCCATCTAACCGAAATAATCTTGACATCGTCGGGTTTTGGGACTGGTGTAAACGCCTTTCGTGAGTCTAGTTTCTCCATCTCTTTCTCCATAGCGGGCATCCATAGTTCAGGCCTGGTCATTGCTTCTTCAAAAGAATTTGGCACCCATGTATTCTCGGGTTCTTGAATTATTGTTAGGTTCGTGTTTGCTTGTTTGTCTTCTGGATCAAACTCCGGGAGCAATGGATTCTCATCTGCCCAATCTTTGCCTGCATCTCTTGCTTCCTTCTCCCTTTCTTTGTACTCTTTGGCTTCAAGTAGTCTCTGGGTGAAGTTGTGAGACCGAGTCGAGCGGCGTGAAGGTTTGGTACCCCATATTTTGGCTTGGCTTCGATGAGTTTTCTTTGGCGCTGGTGCTGGCGGTGGAGATGGGAAAGTGGCAGAGGTGAGTTCATTTTTGGCAACCGAGGTATCAGGAACCGAAGAAGCTTCCGTCTCGGGGTTCTCCGTGGAGTTATCTCCAGATCTCGGATTTGCTTCCGTGCCCGATCTATCTCCCGTAAACGCCGTCTCCGAACCTGGGAATAAGAATGACACGTCTTCATCCTCCCCCTCAGGTTCTGAGACCCAGTGTCCCTCCGAAAACTCAAACACGACGTCCTGACTTCTATAAACAACGTCGCTCTCCCAATCCTTCATCAAGTACACACCCCTTCCATCATATCTGACCATTACCGCTTTAAGACCCCTCGGATCCAACTTGCTGCGCCCTGTTTGGTGTGGGATGTGGACAAAACCAATTGAGCCGAATGGAACTAGGTGGGATACGTTCTGGCGTTGACCGGTCCATTTCTCTTCGGGGACAATGCCTCTTGTCGTAGGAAATAGATTCTGGACGTAGATGTTCGTCATCAACGCATTTCCCCACCATTTTGCAGCTAACTTGGCCTCCAACAGCATGCATCTTGTACCCTCGAGCGCAATACCAATGGCACGTTCGGCAACTCCGTTGGATGGGGACAAATATGCCGCGGTGAACTCGTGTATTATTCCATGCCCCTTTGTCCAACTCTGCATCCTCTCAGACCTCCACTCTGGCGCGTTGTCGGTTCGCATTCTCTTCAACTTCTTTCCAGTCTGCGTCTCTGCTATGGTCTTCCATCCCTCTAGTACTTCGACGAGTGTGTCAGCGAGTCGATTCTTCATTAGTTCAGCAAGTTTCTTCGCAGACCCGGCATCTACTGCTATGAGTGCATATAGATTTCCTCCTTCCGAAATTACCCTCGCTGGTCCCCAGATGTCGAGATACCAACGAAAATTTACCTCATCTACCACCTCGGTTGAAGTTGGGTAAGGAACCTTTCTTGCATTTGCCTTGCTGCAATCCTCACACCTCCCCATCTGTTTACGCAC